ACCAAGTCCGCGCACTTCATTCCTGTGTGTACTACCTATTCTTCAGAGCGATTGGCAGAGATCTATATCCGGGAGATTGTTCGTTTGCATGGTGTCCCAGTTTCCATCATTTCAGATAGGGGCACCCAGTTTACTTCGTAGTTTTGGAGGTCTGTGCAAGGGGAGTTGGGTACTCAGGTTGAGTTGAGCATAACTTTTCACCCTCAGGCGGACGGACAGTCCGAGCGCACTATTCAAATATTGGAGGACATGTTGCGTGCTTGTGTCATTGATTTCGGAGGGTCATGAGATTAGTTTCTACCGCTCGCAGAGTTTGCTTATAACAACAGCTACCAGTCGAGTATTTAGATGGCTCCATATGAGGCTTTATATGAGAGGTATGTAGATTTCCAGTTGGTTGGTTTGAGCTGGGGGAGGCTAGGCTATTGGGGACAGACTTGGTGCAGGATGCTTTAGAAAAGGTGAAGGTAATTCAGGAGAGGCTTCGTACAATGCAGTCAAGACAAAAGAGTTATGCTGACAGGAAGGTTAGGGATGTGTCCTACATGGTTGGTGAGAAAGTTCTGTTGATGGTTTCACCCATGAAGGGTGTTATGAGATTTGGGAAGAGGGGTAAGTTGAGTCATTGATTCATTGGGCCTTTTGAGTTGCTTCGAAGGATTGGGGAGGTGACTTATGAGCTTGCTTTGCCACCCAACTTGTCGAGTGTGCATCCGGTATTTCATGTTTCTATGCTCCGAAAGTATATTGAGGATCCGTCTCATGTTTTGGATTTCAGCACGGTGCAGTTAGATGGTGATTTGACTTATGATGTGGAGCCAGCAGCTATTTTGGAGCGTCAGGTTCGAAAGTTGAGATCAAAGGATATAGCTTCAGTGAAGGTGCAGTGGAGAGGTCGGCCCATGAAGGAGGCTACCTGGGAGACCGAGCGGGAGATGTGGAGCAGATATCCTTACTTGTTTGAGGCTTCAGGTATATTTCTTGACTTGTTCGAGGACGAATGTTTGTTTAAGAGGGGGAAGATGTAATGACCCGGCCGATCGTTTCATGAGTTACTTCTCCGTTTCTCCCATTTCTGCTTCTTATTGCCTTGTTCGGCTGTATTTTGTGTTACCGGGTTGGTTGGTTCGGGTTCGGAGAGGTTTTGGTAAGGTTTGAGATACTTAGTCTCTTTTGAGGAAGCTTAAATTGGAAAAGTCAACCGGATGTTGACTTATGTGTTAAAGGGCTCGGATGTGAATTTCGATGGTTCAAATAGCTTTGGGAGATGAATTGGGACTTAGGAGCGTGATTGGAATGTGTTTTGGAGGTCCGGAGTAGATTTAGGCTTGAATTGGCGAAATTGGAATTTTGGTGTTTTAAGGTTGATAGGTGAGATTTTGATATAGGGGTCGGAATGGAATTCCGGAAGTTGCAGTAGGTCCGTTGGGTCATTTGGGATGTGTGTGCATAATTTCAGGTCATTCGGACGTTGTTTGATAGACTTTTTGATCGAAAGCGGAATTTAGAAGATTTTGGAATTCTTAGGCTTGAATCCGATGTGAATTTGGTGTTTTGATGTTGCTTTGAGCGTTCCGAAGGTTGGAACAAGTTTGAATGATGTTATGGGATATGTTGGCATGTTTGGTTGAGGTCCCGGGGGCCTCGGGTGAGTTTCGGGGTGGTCAAACGGACTATTTCATATTGTAGGAAGTTGCAGAAAAATCTGCTGAAGTGTTGCAAACAGCAGTGCTTCGCATTTGCGAGTGGACCTTCGGTTCGTGAAGGGCTAGCAGGTGAGGCTGAAGATTTATCCTTCGCGTTCGCGAAGGGCTGGGGTCTTTGAGTGTCACATTCGCGAGGTATCAGACGCATTCGCGATGGTTTGAGCTGTGCAGTCATCCCATTCGCGAGGGAGTGGTCGCGTTCGCGTAAGAGGAAAATGTGGTCAACGTCAGGTTGTGCTTCGCGAATGCGAGGCTTTAACCGCGTTCACGAAGAAGGATTTGAATGTCTGGGCAGAATGTTTAAATAGCCATTGTCCGCGATTTTGGGTCTAACTTTCACCATTTTTGGGCGATTTTGAAGCATTTTGAAGATGAATGAAGAGGGATTCAAGGGGGAACAATTGGAGTACTACAAGAAATAGGACTTTTTGCAGCAACATTTAGTGGCAACCTTTAGGAGCGACTTTAGAAGTTGCTGCTAAAAATAAACTTTTAACAGTGACTTATTTAAGGCGCCTCTAAATATGCGCTACTAATTACTAAATTTTTCTTTCCCGGTAAGACCAAAATTTTGGCTCCAAAGATCTAGCAGCAACCAATTAATAGTCGCCGCAGAAGAACATTTAGGAGCGACTTAGTCGCCACTAATAGAATAACTAAAATTTAAAAAGTAAATAAAAAAGAAATTTCTTAATCAGAAGACCTCAAACATATCAAATGTCACTTTGGTCGATTTCTTTTCTACAGTACCACTTGTTTGCTCCCTTCCTTCTCTGTAAAATTCTCAATGTCCTCTCCGATAGAAAACCTCAAATCTCTCAAATCATAAAATGTGAACCATATGGTAGAGCTATAAAAGCCCTAATTACAAATTGTGACTCTATCAGGTATGTGCTCAAATCTCAAATCCTTTTTTTTTGGTAAATGTATTCTCTAATTTTACCTCAAATTTTTCTGACCCATTTGTAAATCTAGAGGAACCGACAGTCGTCTAAAGCTAAAGAAGGAAGGAAGAAAGTTTGAAGTTTGAAAATCATTGCGAGGGTAAGATTTTCGAAACCGTCCAAAGTTTTGGGTATCTTGAGTTCAGTAATTGTGCAAGAAAAAAGCTTCTTTTAGGTTGAATTTACCTGGTTTTTTAGTTTTGAAGATGGATTCTGTTTCTTTTGAAATATTGAGTTTTAAGAAATTTTCTGATGTATATAATTTGTAGAAATGAGCATTTTTTTTCTTTATAATCTCTACTTTATACACTTATGAGCATTGTTCACTTCAGCCAAACATTCTAGGATATTATTGGATATAACTTATGTCACACTACTTGCGATGCTGTTAGTTATTGATTCTCTTATAGGGTGTTATGAAGATATATCTCTGTGTGTTCTATATTTAACTGATCCACTATAACAAATGAGAAACAAAAATAGATAATTTAGCATTAACTTATGCCGAAAAAGATGAAACAAAAAGAAGGAACCTGCTCCATGCTTTTAAAGTGGATCTTTTCCAGTGTTACAAGTAGCAAAGACTTGTCCTACTTTTTATTTGATAGCATTTCCTAAATATAGTTTGAGTGTGCTATTTGATTGTGGTGGTGAAATGTTTGTATATTTTTATCTTTTATTGGTTTCAAATGTATTATTTGTCATGGAGAAGTTCATTTTTGTATAACATAATCATAGCTTATATGACAAATTATACATAGAGGTTTCACTAATTAATTATGATTGAGGTATGGTTAGCTATGTGAGGTTGCTGCAATGGAGTTCTTATATTTCGAGCCTATTGACTTTTTCTGGTCATCTTCAGAAGCAAACAAAGCTAGTCCTAGACGAGACAGGAATTGTTAGCATTTATGATATTTCTTAGTAGGAATTACATCATCCTTTATTATCTAGTTTTTGCGTGTGCTATAAATTAAATGTTATACTTTGCGGTAGAAAATGTTATTTTATGAAAGTTGAACTTAGTAAATCATAGTGGATTCTAGTTTAAAGTGTCTGACATACTCAAAATGTTTTATGAAAATAGACTCAAATTGGAAGAAGAGCGTGAACAAATGGCTGAGGAGTTACAAAGGAATATACAACATAGTGCAAAGGAAATTGGAAAAAGAGTTGCAGAAGAAGTTGGAGGCTGAGCATGAACACGTGAATGCAGAAGTAGATAAGAGGATCTAAGAACAATTGGCTACTATCATAACCAAAATGCAACATGTACTGTTAATATTTTGTACTCTTCTTGACAATTGGCTACTATCTAAGAACAATTGGCTTCATGAATCTATTTGTTTGAAATATATGTAATGCTAACATGAGGTGATATGTTACTAGAATTATATGTAGTTTCTCTCTCTGATTTTGAGGCATATCTTATATGTAGCTTATCTTTAATTTTGAGGCATCTCATATAAAGACATCTCTTATATGTAGCTTCTCTACTGGAATGATAGTACAACTCTGTATGAAAGGTTTGGATCCCAATGACATTGTGTATATAAAGAAATCTTGGTAACATCCTTCATGTCAATCAACACAAAATTCATAAGATATGCCGCTTACTATAACAAATAATTACAACTATATAAATACATTTGAAAATGACTAGATGAATTGTCTGTTGCTCAATCCTTAGCTAATATCCTGTGTTTCTTCTTTGAAATAATTTAAAAGTGATAAAATGGTATACAGCTGTTACACACTTATTTATACTATAACCTTCTGCAATAGCCAGCATTTTGCTCGAGCTACTGCGACTGCTGCTTCCAACAGGTAATATGTGCCCTTCTTCTCTCTTAAAATTAACTTGTTTTTTCATAGCTTAGCTTCTAATTCTAATATGGGGTTTATTCTATTGAACTAATTAATTGTCTGAATCACTCCAAAAGAATTAAGAGGAAGTGATTTGCTTGGATTCTTGAATTTTTTGTATTTTAGCTTCCCAAAATCTTCAATAAATTGTCTTATTTGGGGGTTGATTTACTATAGATTTTGCTGCTGTATCAATCTTGATAGCAGTACTATATGTGTGATAAATCTTTACTAGAGTTGTGGTTGCGCTTTAATAAGATTTTTCATTTATTTTTATTATTATTATTATTATTATTATTATTTTGATGATGGTGTATTCAGGCCAGCTAGCATGTACCTTGAATTTCATTGGGTACTTGCTATCTCATCAACACATGTATCGGGTAACTCTGCTCACCAAGATTTAGGCCTATGGAAAAATATTTACCCAATTTTTTTTTTGTTTTCGCTAAGATTTGAACCTGAGACCTTATGGTTCTCGTCGCACTTTATTGACCACTAAAATCAAATTCACGATTTATGAAGTGACTGCCAAATGAATATATGAAGGAGGCAATCTCTTTTGGTTCTGGTTTTATAGTTTGTCGATAGAGAAGTAGTTTTAGTTAGTGTAAAAACTTGATTGGGAAGTAGTTTTAATTTGTTTTTAATGAATGAAAACTGATTGGATTACTCCTATTGTCACAAAGAGTTCTTTTATACATCTATTGATATTTAAGTCTAGTGGTGAAAAAAGTTTTTTTATCGATGATTCCACGGAAATTTCATATTATCTTCTACCTACGCGTGAGATAATTCTACTGGTCTTTGCTTGTGAGTTACCACTGTCGTTCTACGGTTGTTTCTTCAGAGATTTATAGAAGTGCGTTGTCCTTAACATTGGTAACCTGGTGTACATTTCAACCTAGAGACATGAGTTCTAATTTTCTACTTATTATATAGTTGAACTCACATTTCTTTGCTCAGACAACTGCTCATGACTAGGATACCTTTCTACTACATGAACTTTTGTAGTATTTAAAAATTTGAAATCTATTGGTATGAAATCTCCTCTTACAACCAAAATGTCTCCGTCAAAATAGACCGTAAGTGATATTGAACCATTAATAACATACATATCATACCCATTTGACATGGAAGTGTCAAACCAGGTGATGAGTAAATGTACTAAAAAATCAAAGGTGAAGCTAGTTCTAAAGGTATTCTGATGACAAGACGATAAGAGGCTTGGTTGCTGCTAATTCTTAAGATCTACATTCTCCTGTTTTACTCCACTTCTTATATTTCATGGATGTATTTCCTTTTTTGGTAGTGAGGCGTAGGTTGGTTTGGTTTTATTGATATATACTCATTTATGTTTGATTAGTTTTAATTTTGTGGGAAGACAATAGCATTTATATTTGGAACTCAGCTTATGGCATACAACTCAAGATAAACTAGTAAGAGTTCAGGTTATTATGTACACAGTTCGTAACAACAGAAAAAATGGTTTTGGATGACTAAATGCTATTTTCCCACTATATTATGTTGACAAGAGTGGGTTGCTCTAGTGGTGAGTACCCTCCACTTCCAACCAAGATGTTGTGAGTTTGAGTTCCCCCAAGAATAAGGTGAGGAGTTCTTGGAGAGAGGGATGCCGAAGGTCTATTGAAAACAGTCTCTCTACCCTAGGGTAGGGGTAAGGTCTGCGTACACTCTATCCTCCCCAGACCCTGGGGTTATACTGGGTTGTTGTTGTTGTTGTTGTTGTTACAATGTGGGAAGTAGGAAATTATACTTGTTCAAGTGTCATTGGCAGGATGTGGCTCACTTAGGAAGAGAAAAATAAGATTGACAAATATGGCTTCAGAAGTATGAATACTCATGCCTTGAATACAAATGAGCCATTTGTGTTGGCATCACTGGCTTGTAATTTTGTGTGTTCATGTGGGAATAGGTGTTTGAACGACGCTATGAAGTGTTTGATAAAATGACCGAGAAAAGTGGGGTTTTATTCTACTACCACTTTGAGAAAGCAAAACTATTTATGATATTATTTATGTGGAAATGCAAAAGTGTCTTTTAACTTATAACTGTAACGTCCATATAACTAAATAGTTCATCTTATTGGAATTTTTGTTCTTTGTTGGATTTTGATCTTGTATTTTTTCCTCTTGATAACAGGGAGAAGATTTCTGAACAATCACAAATGGCGATGATCAAGGAGTTTGAACACATTTAATGTTTAGTTTTTTCTTTTATTTTTAGTCGAAAGGCGTCGACCAAGGAGTAGTTCAAAGCGTGAAGACACTTAATGTATTATTTTTCCTTTTTCATGTGTAAATGCATATAATGGCAATAAATAAGAAAGTATTGGGCAGTGTATTAGCTAATTGACCATATAGTAATGAAAGTATTTATAGTATTTGTGTTGAGAAATATTTTTGGTGTTTGTTGAATTGGATGCTTTTAGTATTTGTAGGCAATTGATAGAAATGTACCTAAATATTCATTTCACAAAGTAGTAGGTCACCATAAGAAATCTATAGAATTGGTTAGTTATTGAAAAATGGCTTTAGTGGCGACTATACCTTGTTGCCACATATAATTAGTATTTGTGGCGATGAGAAGCGCCATTAAACGTACTTGGCTACTAGTGGCAATCGGAATCGCTACAATAGATACTATTTGTGGCTACTGCACTCGCTACTAAAGTCTTTCTTTAGTGGCGACCTTCCTAGAAACACATATTGAGAAGCCATTTTAGTAGCGATATTGTTTACTTTTAGGGGCGAGCATAGTCGCCGCAATATCTGGTTTTCAGTGGCGACTCCATTATGTCGCTACAGATAACATTTAGTAATGGATTTAAGTGGAGCGAACCCAAGGTCGCCTCTAAAGGCAATTAGTGGCGACTGTATAGTCTTTAGTAGCGACTTTAGTCTCCACTAAAATCAATATTTCTTGTAGTGAGGTAAGATTTATGGACTTAATACTCGATCCTTATGTGAATTCTACCTAATTAATCATGGAATTTAAACCTAATATTGAAGAACTAGGGCTTGTAATTGGAGACCTAAAATTTGGGATATGAGGGATCATTTGAGGTTAGATTTTGGTGATTTTGATATGAATGAACTCGGGGAGTGATAAGGAGTCTATTGACGTAATTTTTATTGGAATTTGAGACGTGGACCCGGGGATCGGGTTTGGCCAATTTCGGGATTTGTGTTGCAATTTGATTTCTTTCAAGTGGACTTTGCTTCCTTAGCATATTTTGATGGTTTTGCACTGATTTTGATTGGATTTGGAGCATCTGGAGGCCGATTCGAGAGGAAAAGGCATCACGGGCTAGAGATTTGGACCGGATAGAGGTGAGTAATGATTGTAAATGTTGTCCTGAGGGTGTGAAACCCTAGATTATATATCGTTGTGCTATATTGAGGTGACACACACGCTAGATGACGAGTGTGGGGTCGTGCACCGTTGGGGATTGTGACTTAGTCCATCCCGAATGACTGTTTTTACTGCGTATTTGACTGAAAACTATTTGCTATCATCATGTTTTGGGATGAACACCATATTTGGGCCTCGTGCCAACTATTTGGACCCTTAGGGGATTTTTTACTAATATTTCCTCACTGTTTTGACTTTATACTTGTACTCAGTTACGCTATATTCTATTGTTTTCATAACTCAGCCATGTTTACTCTGTTTTAACACATTTTATGATATTCTAAATGATAATTTGAGCTGAACATCATGTTTTACTGTTGCCCGAGTAGCTTATGAGATTCTGACCGAGTAAGGCCGAGGGCCTGTATTGTGAGGATACATTGATTTATGATTTTGTGGCTGAGGGCCTGAGATTGTATGTCACGAGGTGACTTGTTGATATGAGGACGAGAGCCTATTGATTATGCCACGAGATGGCTTGATATTGCTCTTGGGCCGTAAGGGGCCCCTCTCGGAGTCTGTACATCCCCAGTGAGCGCGGGTACCCATTGTGATATGAGATATAGCCCGAGGAGCTGGTGTTGTTCTATGATATTGCCCGAGAGGCGGATGCTGTTGACATTGTGCTTGAGGGGTAGGTTTTATGTGTTTATCTGTTCTAGCTGCTTTTCATTTAATTGTTTTACTGTTAAAAAGGTCTTTTAAAGAAGCTTCTTCTGAACTAAGGTATCTTTATATGTTTTCACTGTTTCATTGCTTTTTACTGATTTTATACTGCTTCTTTATAGCATGTTGATGTGCTTTTACGTGATTTCTTATTTCTCAATCTTCATTTATTGTTATTATTAACTGAGTTGGAGTACTCACTTTACTCCCTGCACCTTGTGTGCAGATTCAGGTGCTTCAGGTCCCGCTAGCGAGTGTTGATTTCTTCCAGATCAAGCGGATTCAGAGATTCACTAGGTAGCTACTCGGCGTTCGCAGCCCAGTGCTTCTCCCCTATCTTATTTTCTCTTGTTTTAGTTCTGGAATAGACTATGTCGACTCTTTCTGTTTTAAACGGCTAGTAGATGCTAATGACTGGTGACGCCACGATGTCGGGCTATGTCTATTCCGCAAATTGTATTATTTGCCTTTATTTTGGTATTATTATTATGTTAAAGACCTAATTTGTATTATTTTAATTGCTTAAAATGAATTAAGTATGTGTCGGTTGGCCTTGTCTTCACGAGAGGCGCCATCACGACCGGGTCGGGGTTTAGGGTCGTGATAGCTAGTATCCGCTTCATATGGATTTTGCATGGTAAGGTCACCTCATCAATAAGCTTCTGAACTGCTCTTTTCATATGCTAACACTTTTATATGTTGTGCCCCGGGGCATTAGAGCAATATGCGCACCTTTGAGAATAATCAAATTTCTTTAGAAGGGGGTTCCGAATTTTTATCTGAATTGGCTTCAACATGTGTAATTGCCTCAGCCTTTGGAACAGACTGGCATATGATTCTCCAATAGGAGTGAAGGACTTTCTCTTTGTTGTTGCCCTTTCATTTTGTACTCCAGGCTTGGTTGGAACCTCTTGCGGGTAGGTGGTTGATATGCTTGTAGAGGTATGTAAGGCATTTGTGGAGGCGGTGCAAACCGTTGCGGGTCTTGTGGATGTGGAGCATATGGCGATGCATTGTGGATAGAGTAGTTGAAAGGTGATGTATGACTTTGGGGATTTTTTAGAAAGAAATAGCATTGAGTAGGATTATCTGGAGTACGAGGATATTCATGTGGTCGATGTTGAGGATGAAATCGTTGAGCAGGAACGCCAACTGGATCTTGTCGTTGGCGGGGCTCAACAACATCAGGAGGGCTATTTTTTCGGAAAGGTAGTTGGAAAAGGAAATATTGGAGCTACTGAGGAGGTTAGGAAAGCTATGATAAGCGGGAAAATCTAGAGAATATGGTGGATCATTTGACACTATGACCGGATCTTGGGTAAGGGTAGCATCTAGGAAGCTAGGTGGTGGCAGGGGTGGTGTCTTCCCAGTCATCCATGCCTGATACATGTCCGCCATGTGTTGTCTCAACATCCTTACCTCTTCAACTAACCCAATGTCTTGTTCAACAATTTGCTTTTGGGCACCAGTATCAACCAATTCAATTCCATTGTCGTCTGCCATTGCCATTCGACTATATGTAGTAGGGATGAGTTACCAGTTTAAGAACCACAAACCAACCACCCTTCTGCTCAATGAAGATAATAAAAAGGAACAAAATGAAGTCATCACGTTAGCGTTAGGGCATTTAACATAAGATAATCTCACGTTATGTGCAATGCACCTAATCACAATTATAGGTTCTAAAATGACTTCGAGGGTACGAAAGTCAACTAGACATCATTCCTATTTTACTTCTCTCGCCCTTTTCTTCTTCATTTCCTCTCTTGCGCTCCTTGATTTGCTCATTTTCTTCCTCTCTTTTTCTTTCTGATTATCACCCTTTTCTTTCCTCTCATTTCTCACATTCCATAACTTCATCTCTCCTTTTTTCTTTTACTTTTTTTTAATTTCAAAATCGATTCGATCGAACCCTATGTAGGTTGCTTAAGTATCAGGAAGCTGCATGAATCATATCTTTGCATAGTTCGGGAAGGTCGGGAATAAAGTAAATAAACTAACTTTTTTTTTTTGGATTTTGAATTTGCTTTAATTTTCGAAAGAAAACTTAAAAAGAAAAAAGAAAATATTTTTGGATTTCGATGTTTTGTTTTGTTTTTGTTTTTTCAGAATTTTTGAAAAGAAAGACTTCTAAAGAAGAAAGAAAATACTATTTTTTTGAATTTCTACTTCTTCTTTTCTTGGAATTTTGAGAAAAAAATTTCTAAAGAAGAAAGGAAATATTTTTGGACTTTTGGACTTTTATTATGAATTTATGAAAGAAGTACTTCTAAAGAAAAAAGAATTTTTTTTTGAATCTTGAATTTTCTTTTTAATTTTTGAAAGAAGAATAAAAATATTTTTGGATTTTGAGAAGAAACTAAAAGAAAATATTTTTGGATTTTTAAAAATTGGGGTCTAAAAAAAAACTTTCTAGAGAAGGAAGTGAAGGGAAATATTTTGATTTTTCTTGAAAATTGTGGTCTTAAAGAAAGACTTTTCTAAAGGAGGAAGTAAAGAATTTTTTTTTTGAATTTTTGAAAAATTGTGGGTCAGAACTGATGATGTTTTCCTACGTATCTCACATTCGGTGAGAATCAGACCCACGTAGTTCGGCCAGAAGCGGGGAATATTTCAAAATCTTAGTCAATTTTTCAACACCTTTTGAGTAAAATCACACACTGTTTGATTTTTGAACACATGAATTTTGTGAGAACCGGGTGAATTTTACTCTCTTATTCTCCCTCTTTTGTTTTTTTTTTCAAATTTCTTTCCCTTTTCTATAAAGCCGGTCAACAAACAAACCAGATCAAATAAGTGTACAACTAGCATATACGATGCATCAGGATGGTCTTTTTAGTTACGGGTACACCTATCCTAGATGGATCCAACCCCTATAATGAATCCCCTAAATCAAATGCACGTGATGCAAGCAAACGTACCTGTCACACCCCCTTTTTAACCAACTTCTACTAACTCTCTTAAATAAATAAAAGGATTTAGTAAAGCTTGAAAAGGATTTTCCAGTTAGAAAGTGACAAAATTGTGTTTAAAAGGAAACAACTCAGAGTCAACACCTGCCATTTGATTTCGGTGTGTCAGGTCACCGTTTTTAAAAATGATTTTTCCTTTTAAAACGTTTCAGACTCCAAAACTAAGTCTGCACCAGAGATTTGGGTAAGGGGGTTCATTTGACTCGGGGAGAAAGTATTAGGCACTCCCCGAGTCCCGTGAAGGTCACGGTTACGTACTCGATCTAGTTGGCTTTTAAAATGTTCGAATTGAGGTGAAATCAGACAAAAAATGGAAAATGAACACAAAAGAGGCTCGAGGTCGTCCCCGCCTAAAATAAAGAAAATAAAAATAAAAATAAAATAAAATACTACAAGCTTCTACTTTTGGCCTCCATTTACATTCACTTCGGGGCATACCCCGGATAAAAATATATACAAAGTCAACGGGGCATTCCCCGGATAAATTTAACTAAGGGAACGACCTCTCGCCTCAAAACTACAAAATCCTAAGGCTTGCTTACCCAAGTGTTGCCGACCTAAACATACCACTAGCGGATAATAGAATGAAATAAAGTAACAAATGTAGTACTAAAATCTCAATTCTGTTACTTTTAACTTCCAACTCTAGATCCCATATCCATTTCACTATTCTTGGCCAATATTTCTTTTCCACAGTTTACCAATCCACTGCCCATTAATCCTACTTAAACCAATAGTTCATAAGTTGATTCACTTATCATAATTATGCTCTATTCACAGTAATTAATTAAAATGAGCAATTTGACTAAACGTATATCAACCGAGAATATTACGCCATCATCATGCAATTAACATAGCACATGAAAAATAATAGCACACATAATAAAGAGAAGGAAACGAGAGGAACCTCAAAAGGAGTTAGGAAATTTTCTTCGACACTTGAAAATGGTACAAGACCTTTAAGCCAAAATCGAGCGAATCGCAGCACGAACAAGATGAAAACAACAATAGGANGAGAGATTGGCGGGCGGTGGCTGGTTGATTCCGGCTAGTTCGATGAGGAACGGTTGCTGGTGCTGGAGGAGTTAGGGTCGTTGGGTTAGGTCTTGGTCGTGTTCTAAGGTTGAAGAAAGAGACGGGCGCTGATGGGGTTTCTCTTGTAGTCTTGTCTAGTTGAAGAAGAAGAAGCAAGCAACCATGGATGTCCTCCAAGTTCTGCCGCTGCTGCTGGTTGCTCAAAATAAAAGGGGTCGTTTTTTTTGCTAGAAAAAAAAGAACGATGGGGTCCAAGATGAAGGCTAGGGTTTCTATAATTGGGTATTTTATATGAAGGTGGGAAGGGATGATATCCATTGGATTAGAAGGAAATAGATGGCTAGGATTAAATCTTGCACATAAATGGGCTAATGGGTTGGGAAGAATGGGCTAAGAATAATTGGGTTTAAGTTAAAAGAAATGGACTCACACCTTTGGGCCTACAAATTTTCTTGTTGGACAAAGACAAACTCAAAAATCCTACCAAAATATTAATTAAACTTAGTTAAGTAAATAAACAAAATTTTAAAATGAAACTATTTTTTTGTATTTTTAAATGTTATAACAATAAAGTAAAAAGTAAAGAAAATAGGCTAAAGTCATGATAAAATTAAGATACCATGAATAAAAATATACTAATTGATCTTAAACTAAAGATAAAAATATAGAAAAGCGATAAACACGATAAATAAAACTATTTTATGTTTTTTTATGTCTTAGGACTAAAAGTAAAAAGATTAAAATTATATTAAAATAAAGTCAAGTAAATATTTTAAAAATATTAAAATACTAAAACTAACTTTAAAATTTGCGCGGGTCAAAAATTACGTACTTACAACTGCCCCTCGTTGCTTGGAAACACGAAGAGTTTTCGGAGCAAAGAACAATAAGCAACGTAATTGATTTATGACCCGACGCTTATTCAAAAGAAAATAAAGGTGGCTAAAAGATTGTGACCGAGCCCTGGTATCTAAGCTGCCTACATATCCTTGGCTATAAAAGAATCAGGCCACGTGTAGTTCAGAAGTGAGAAGGATGATAGAGTACCGAGGTGGAGAGTCGAGTGAAATGCCGTCGAGGTTCTGGTCCGCGGTTCCTGCCATTACATCAAAAATAAAAGGAAAAATTACAGCAAAGTGAAAAAAATACAAGATCCTATATACTTCTTGTATTGAATCTTCCTTGAATCTCTATTTGATCTTCAACATGAGACTGAAAAGTGGACCCTGTTCTTCAGGCGGGCTCCCGATGCTTCTTAAATTTGCGAATTGAAGTAAGTCCGAAATGAATTCCCTTGTTCTCCAGGTGGGCGCCTGATTACCAACAACTTGAATTGTATTCCCTCGTTATCCAGGTGGGTGCCTGATTACCAACAACTTGAACTGTATTCCCTCGTTATTCAGGTGGGCGCCTGATTACCAAAACTCGAAACTGTATTCCTNGTAAGTCTAAAATGAATTCCCTTGTTCTCCAGGTGGACGCCTGATTACCAACAACTTGAACTGTATTCCCTCGTATCCAGGTGGGCGCCTGATTACTAAAACTTGAATTGTATTCCCTCGTTATCCAGGTGGGCGCCTGATATTGCAACAAAACAGACAAAACAAAAGAAATTTTTCTGCTCCAGTTTGGGATCTGGGCATATTTGTGAGTGTTAATCGGATCACGTTACCTATAGAGCTCTAAGAATTCAAAAGCTAAATCCCATTATCCAAGAGGGCCCTGAAAACTTCGAACTAAATCTCATCTAAAACTTAAAACTAAATCCCATTATCTAGGAGGGCCCTGAAAGCTTTAAAACTAAGTCTCATTATCCAGGAGGGTCCTGAAAAATTTTAAAACTAAATCCCATTATCCGGCAGGGGCCTGAAATTTTAAAATTAAATCCCATTATCCAGGAGGGTACTGAGACCTTTTAAAATTAAATCCCATTATCGAGGAGGGTCCTGAAAATTTTAAATTAAATCCCATTATCCAGGAGGGTCCTGAGAATTTAAAACTAAATCCCATTGTCTAGGAGGGTCCTAAAAATTTAAAAACTAAATCCCATTATTCAGGAGGGTCCTGAAAATTTAAAAACTAAATCCCATTATCCAGGAGGGTCCTGAAAACTTTAAATTAAATCCCATTATCCAGGAGGATCCTGAAAATTTTAAATTAAATCTCATTATCCTGGAGGGTCATGAAAATTTAAAAACTAAATCTCATTATCCA